CATCATTCCCTTTGACGGCTGCGAGACTTGGCGTGTCTTGGGCACCGACCTGGCCTTTAATGTGCTTTGGAACAGAGAGATGTATCAGGAGGGGGAGCACAAATCAATGCAACCACACCAAACCCATTCAGGGGTATGGACAAATGACCTCTGGGAAATGAAGGTGATGACCCTCACCCAAAGCAGCATCAAATTTGGGTGATGCTCTGTGCTCAGGTTGTGTGTAGCTCCCACCTCTGACAGCATTTGACCTGGTTTGAGTCCCTTTCCCACAGTGCTGCTCCAGAAACCCTTTTCCACTCCCCTGTTTTGGCTGTATCACCTCTTTCTGTTCTTCTTCTCTCCCCAGTGATCCCAAATTAAAGTGAATGGTCTTAGTATTAAACCCTTTTATCCCTGATTTTTTCCACCTTAATTTAGGTTTCAGGGTCATAGTCAGAATCTACTTGCTACAGGTTTTAACTGCACAAATCCAGAGGGAGGGAGGTTTTTTGCAGGAAGACTGACTGACTATATTCTCCTTCTCTTCTTTTATTACCCTTTATCTGTTCAGCAGAATTTTAAGTCAGATCCCTGAATTCCACAGGGCCCCCACAGATCTTGGAAAGTGGTAAAGAATGTGGGGGACACCTTGAAAAGCAAGGTGAATAAATATTGCTCCCTATTTGTCATGCAAAAAACCCTGGAAAATATCAGGCAGAACACTTAAAAGCATAAATTCCTTCATTCTTTTTCACACAGGAATCTCATAGATAATTCAGTTTAACATGATATTAATGCTGCACTTCCATTAAATGTTGAGGGACAATACATCCATCCAATGGTCATTAGGAGCAACCACCAATTTCAGAAATCTCTTCTGGCTTAAAATAAAATCCAGGGAAGGCTAATTTCACATTTGCCTTTTTCTGATATTCTTCCCCAAGTATCCAACACTGGCATCCCTCAGGTCTAACGCAATATGGAAACTACTCAGGGGCTGGCCTTGTTTATGTGCAATATTCTGCCATGATGTCTGTTCTAAACTTCTTTTTTCCCCTCTTTGTTGGTTCTTCCCTCCTGTTTTTCTCCTCTTTGTGAAGGAAAAGAGGAAAGAAAAGAAAAAGAAAGCTAAAGGAGAGCACAAACACCTCTCCGAACAACCCTCCATAAATAAAATAAAACATCCTCCATATCTTTCTATTTTCTTTTTTTGAAAACTTGCTGATGGAATAGTCACTCCTGTTTCATTTTGTTCTTTGAGAACTGAAAATTTTGAAGAGCTTTGGTGAGAGAAGATTGTTGGCAGCTTCTTGGCAGCTCCAGACCTGCACACACACACCGAGGTTTGAGCCAGTGAAAAACAACTCTGGCACCTCCTGAAGGTGCTCCTTTGATTGACCTCAAACTTCTTGGAGCTTCACTGTCCCTCACTGGAACCAGTCATGCCACCTAATATGTTAAGTCTTGGATCTCAGATAGCACCTGCCTGCTGTCCCCACTCCCTAAAAACAGACTCCTTTTATATACCATAGAAATACCCCTTTGCTGGTGTGTTCTGGAATCCTGGAGTGATTCTGTGCTGTATCTGCCTTTTGCCCTTGCAATTATCTTTATAATGTTGATCAGCAAATTATCTCCCAACATTTCCCACATTTCAGTAGGTAGAAAGTTGGAATTATTTCAAGTCCTGGCAAATTCATAATGATCACCAAAAAAAAAAAATAAATCTAAAAACATTGTGAATCTGTATAATCAGTAAGTGCCCATAAGCACCCTTAAAGTATCATGCAGTTTTCCTGATCCAGTGGAGGTTTCCTCTCACAGTTCCAAGTCCACTGAAGATTTTTTGAGTGCAATTCTCCCCTTAATAAGGTCATTCATTGCAGAATCAGAGAAAAACTGGACACTTGCCTCCTTTATTTGCCACTATACATCTCATACTATAGAAATAAATGCCATAATAGATATCATAATAAATAGGAATTGGAAGTTATACCATATAGAGATGATGAAAGGGTTTATAATCTCATTGCTGTTATTTGCTTTTTTCTTTTTATTTTTTTTTTAACTTTGTATTAGGCACACAATTCCTTCAACCCAGACTGTAATTAATTTTACTACATCACTAGTTATCTCTGCTCCCTAACCAGGCTTGTCATTTTAATTTTTCACAGGCTTTCTTTTTTTCTATCCATGTGCCTGTTCCTGTATCTTAGTGAAGTCTCATCAGCTCTGGCCCAAAGCCTTGGGCAAATTTGTCTGTAATGCACTTCTCTACTTCAGACATAAGAGGAAAAAATACCACTTCCACAAAATGGGAAGGGGAAAAAAAAGGGAAGAAGAATAATTTTGACTGTGCATTGTCTAACAATTCAGACAGGCTTGGAGAGCTTGGTTAAAAAAAAAGGCATCCTTTCAGCTACACTATTTATATCAATAAAAGAACTCAGTGCTATTGCAGATGGGACTATAGAAAAAGGTTAGCAGGTGGAACCCCCAAATCCAGCAAACTTCATGAAATTTTTGCCATTGGCTCCGACTGTGAAATTTCCCTGATGTTTAACATGACTGCCCAGAGAGATTTTGGTCCTCGGAGGATGGATCTGCACAGGCAGATCCAGAGACTTCTATGTTCATTCTTCCTGCTCCTTGAAGGCTTCCTCAGTGTGCAGAGTGGGGAAGCTGAACTTTGTTAAGCCCACGTGGGTTTGCTGGAAGTTCTTATTGTCCTCACAGAGCTGGTCTGAACATGGTTCTTGCTGGGGAATGAGTCTGCCACAACACGCCCATGGGCTTCTTCCAAACTCTGAGCTGAAATCCTGCTGCTTTCTCTTTATGCCCTCACAGAAGCTGGACCTTGGCAGCATAAAATAGTGAACTCTTCAGCTGCATGCCTGAAGCTGAGCCAGCTGGCTTTGATATCCTCAAGTTTTTTGAGGCACCCAACCCTCATGTGTAACCCACATGTCACACTGTAGGCTCTTCCTCTGACTCCTTCTACTCCATCCCTACCCTGCCCTGCTCTCAACCACGTTTTTGAAATGTATAATGTCGTAAATTTACCCATAAAACATCTCTGCAAAGGTGGTTGTCCTAATTACAGTATAAGGATTAAGGAGAACTCAGTGATGCAAAGACTAAGGGTCTTGAGCAGGATCACCAAAAGTGCTGATCACAAGACACTGAGGACATGCAGATGCCCCACAGGCCAAGCTGGAATTCAAATTATTGTAAAATAAGGTTTTTGGTTTGGGACATGAGACGTGTGTTCTCTTTCTTTGCCTTGCCCAGGACATCCTGGAGCAGCTTGGATATGTCTGGTCATAAAATCACTGATTGGTTTGGGTTGGAAGGGAGACCTTAAAGCCCACCTTGTTCCATCCACTTGTCGTGGGCAGGGACACCTTCCACCAGACCAGGTTGCTCAAAGCCCTGTCCAGCCTGAGCATGAACACCTCCAGGAATGGGGAATCCACAACTTCTCATCTACTCATACATTCTCTGTTTTTTCCTTGGCCTGTATAGGTGGAAAATACTCAAAATAAATCTGGAACTCTATCAGCCACAAGGCAGAAGGATCCCATTTCATTCAAGGGCAGTTGCAGTCAGTTTAAACACATTTATTTTCTGAAAAGATGCCATCTCATGTGTAACCATGTTCTTTAACCACATCTTTTTCTCTCTGGTCACTACAGTGGGGCTTTTTTCCTGATACACAACATCCCCTACATTTCTTACTTATTCAGGAATCACGTCATGTTTGCACTCATTTGCCACCATGTTTTGTTCAGCTTTCTCCCCACTTCTTCCTCATGCTCCATCACTCAGTTAACACACAGCACTTTGGGAAATCAAGATCAATATTGCTGCAGTTAAAGACTTCTTTAGAGGTCTAGTGCAAGACATTACTTATTCTGTAAACAAAGTACAGATAAATGCAAGGATTATGAACTAAAGGATTAATTAAAGCTCTTAACTGTTTCCAATATATCTGATTCCACCCCTCCCCCATAAAGAAGGTTGGGTGATATTTGCACGTCATTTGCATTCACTATTATTTGCATACATGCTGACATATGTAATTATATGTTATTTGCTTTCATACTGCTTGAATGTGATGGAGTCACTTACTGGGAGTAGAAACACTGAAGGGGAGGGAAGTTCAGGGAATGGAGGAATTGTATTTCTCAGAGAGAAAAGGTTTATATCTTTTTATTTGGACCCTGAATCATGATCCTTAGGGATCTACTTTGCTGATTCACATAAATTATTATTTTGACTTATAAAAAAATAATGTAATAAATTGCTTTTCTATATCATGTAAGAGGTCAGGAAGGTTGATCCATTTCACTTAATAAGACCCTCATTCTCAACTTTTTTAAGCCAGAAAATCTCCTGTGCAGTCATCCACAAGCCTAGCTCAGTGTGGAATCAGTCTGATTTCACCCTAAAATTACAATTACAAACACAATATAGTGCAGGAGCCAATGCTAGAGAATCTATTTCTTTGCCTAGAAAACTGCAGTTTGCTGACCAGAATCTGCACCTTAACTCCTGCAGCTTGAAATGAACTGCTTTGTGGTTGGTTTTTGTTTGTTTGTTTGTTTGTTTGTTTTTTCAAATGAAGTTTTCTCATCTTTTCTTTCTCTTCTGATCTGTCCAGAAACCTCATCTTCCTGCTTAAGTAATTTCTTCTGCAGAGGAATATAAATTTTATCTGGTGCCACCAGGACACCTTGCAACCAGGAATTTTATGGTACAGAGAGGGCATAATAAAGTTCCTCATCTTCCAGCTCAGTAAAGCAAAGCACAGAGGAATTCTCTGAGCAACTGAAGAATGTCAGCCTTATTATTATTATCCTTAAAGAGCTGTGTTCGTAACAAGCCAGTGATTTAAAGGTGTCAGAAAACAATGCCGTGGTGGAGATTTACTCAGTGAAATACTTTAATCTAAAAAAAAAAAAAAAAAAAAAAAAAAAAAAAAAAAAAAAAAAAAAAGATTTATGCACATACCAAGGTACCAAGGTTCTTTGTATGAAACTAAAAGCATGGTTGAAGAAAAGGAGAAAATTTTCATATATTTGTATATATGCATAAATACCAAGTAGCATTGCTCTAGACACTAAGACTACACTCATGCTAGTGCAATAAAGTGTCAGAAATCCCACTGAGTTGTTGGGCTAATCCCTGACTGCTTTGGAATGGGATCTCAAAGCTGATCTAACACTCCACCAAACAAAGCTTGAAGAGAGTTTTAAAGGTGTCAGAGGGCTGTTCTGAACAGGCAGTTTGGATGCACCAAGCCTTCTTTGGCAGCTAAGGAAGGTCAACATCAAAGACATGGCCAGAGACTCCCAGATGGCTGCAGATCCAGGTAACAGCTTCATTTGCCCGTCTAGTTCCCCGTCCAAACATGTGTATGGTTTTCTCTGAACGCAGAGACAAAAGACTCAGCTCCCCATTGGCTTCCAGCCAGGAAAATCTTGCTTTGCTAGCGGTCCACCCCCTCACACCACTTCTTTACCCCTCTGCTGCCACCATGGCAACGTGCTCTCCCACACTGCTCTGGTGTCTGGGCATCCTTTCGGACTCCTCCCTTTCCTGGTTGTAACCAGCTGAAGGTCTGGGGACTTCCTTCTGGCTGGAGCATCCCGGGGCAGCTGGCTGCTGATGTTCCACAGGGTCACCAGGAATTGTTCCTCCACGTGGCTGTTGGTGACTGCCCCTTTTCCCTGCTGAAGAAAAGGGGTGTCTGTCCCCCGTCTTACGCTGGACATCGCTCAGCTTTCTCACTGACTTGGCTTCACAGGGCGACAGGTTCAACTCCTCCAGTTGTCCTGTGGCACGTCCCACAGCTCCAGTTTCTGCCATACCTGTGGAGGAAAGATTTGTTTGCTCTTTGTAATAATTATAAGATCCCATCTTCATGTACTTTTATGCCTTTACTGTGTGTTAAAAACTTTTTTTTTAGTTTTTTACCCATTTCACATGGGCAGACAGTGACAGGAGAAGGGGAAAGAATGTTAAACCAAAAGAGGAGACATTTAGATTAGAGGTTAGGAAGAAATTCTTTCCTGTGAGGGTGGTGAGGCTCTGGCACAGGTTGCCCAGAGAAGTTGTGGCTGCCCCATCCCTGGAAGTCTTCAAGGCCAGGTTGGACAAGGCTTGGAGCAATTTGGTCTAGTGGAAGGTGTCCCTTCTGACCTAGTGGAAGGTTTTGGAACAAGATGATTTTTAAAATCCTTTCTAACCCAAATCATTCTATGATTGTGTGATTCCATGAATAATTAAAAAGCATTAATTGTTAGAGACACAGTTTCACTGGCCACACATTTTAGTTTGACAGAAATTGGTTGTTAAAGCCAAACAAGCATTAGCTATTTCCACAAATAAATAAAAAGCAACAAAACCAGCTGGTTTGTTCTTATTGATGCACTAACAGCATCTTCAGTGGTTAACAAATTTCAGTAAATATTTAATAATTAAGTATATAGAATAAAGTTGGCTAGTGAGCTATGTAGTGATAAGACTGATAATATTTTAGTGCCACACACCTATAAAATACATCATCCCTTTCTGAATCAGGTTGTAATAAAAGACAGAACTTTATGTTTCCAACATTTGAGTCCTACTCAAGGCAGCACCTGCAACCTGCAATGCTGTTTAAAAATCGATGTTGAAAAAATGCAGAAAAAGAAAATACACACTATCCATTTTTCATGTGGAAACACAAAATGCTTATTACATCCCTACAAACCAAAACATTATCAATGACAGAGGCAGAATCACTTCCAGTGTCACAGCAGAGACAGCTTCTGAGTTGGCAGGGTGTGCTATCGTTTCAGTGCAAGATTGGCAGCCTCATTTTTAGTATCATTTGGATGCTAAAAGCATTTGCAATATTCTTGCAATCCTCTCCCTTCCCCCAGGAACGTGAAATGAAAACAGCCCAGACCCAAATCTTTTATACTCATTCCAAATCCAGAACTGGTCCTAGTCCACATGTCTCATGTTAGTGGACAGCATCAGCTTTTACAGTCCATATAACTGCACATTTTATAGGTCCATAGCACAAATAATAACAGTGCGTTGTTACCACTCCTGATTTTTCAGGCTTGTCCTCTCATTTTGGCCCTCAGCAGCCTGTGACATTCAGCCCACGGTGGCTCAGACCTTCTGCTCAGATTCATTCTCTTCTCCCTTTTCTGTAATTCATTAATTGGAACTATATTTACTGAATCATAGAATATCTCAGATTGGAAGGGACACATAAGGATGATCAAGTCCAACCCTTGCTCCTCACAAGAACACTTAAAACCAAATCATTTAACAAAAAAGGTTGTCCAGACGCTCCTTGGACAACTGGAACTCTGACAGTGACAATGACTTCACACTTGTACTCATTTTACCTGTTAAAAGGTTTAACTGTTTTTTTCAACTTGTGCACTCATAACTTTCAATTTCAGGATTATACCTCTTGAAAATCCACTGGAAAGTTGTTGGCAAAATTTCAGCAGTCACATCTATTTCTGTGTTTAACAATTTTCCTTCTTAAGCTTGCTTAAATATTAGGTAGTTGGCTGTTTTAAGGTACAAATTATATGCATCACCAGGTACCATTTTCTTCTTTATACACATAAAGAAGATAATCAGGTCACAATACCCTATACCAAATCTCCATGTCAATTCTTGAGATTTATTGACTCCCTTTTCATTTTTAATGGTGACATTTTCAGTAGTGAAAATAAGCCTTTTCAAACAAGTTTGAGTTAATGAAAGAGGCTACAAGTTTTCTGGATAGAAGCAGTTTCAAGGATGAAGCACTGCCTGGAGATTTTCAGGACATAGTAATATATATATATCCTGATTTTTTTTAAATTAAATACAAAGTATTCAATATCATTAAAGCATGCAATTAACTGGATTAAGTACCAGCTAACAGAGCTCAGGTAATAATTATATGTGGGAAATAATTCTCAGAGGTGGGGATGTGTGTACGAGTACCAGACACTCCTTCTAAAATGGAAGATATTCAGTGTTTCCACTGGTGATTTGGAGTTAAAACTGAAATTGATTCTGATGAAATTTTGTAAAACATAGAAAAAATGGCAAACTGGTAGAAAGGAAGGAGGAGGAGGAGCTGATCTGAGCAACCTCAGAGCAAGGAGGGAGATCTAATTTGCAGAGTGAGAGAACATCTTCAGGAATACAACAGTGATTTCTGGGTGAAAGTGTCCAAGGAGTTCAGCATAAGAATCAATCAGGTGCCACACCTGAAAGAACTGTAGATTGAAGCTTGGAAATGTAAACTGTTAGAGGATACAACTCCTCAGCGGTCAAGGTGATGAACCACCAGAACAAATTGCAAAAAGCAAAAGAGAAAGTGTATATATCCCTCCACCTCCAGGTGTGTTGTGTTAACAACGCCTTAGGAAATCAAAAGTTCTTTAATTCAAGAGTTTGGGTGAGGCTGAGGAGATTTTTTGTTAGGCCAACATAATATCTTGATCTCTTCTCCCTGCAGTACTGCTTAGCTGGTTTCTTCCTCATATTCATCCTCAGCTGCCCATGTTGGCACAAAATCCAGGGCCCCTGATCCACTGGACTTTACACTCTATAAGGACCTTCCAAAGAGAAAAGCTCTCTCTTGCAAGTCTTACTGTGGCGATTAATAAATAAAGACTGTGAACACTTAATTCTGTTAGAAAAGTGGCATTTCTTATGAGGGGAAGAGCTATAAAGCAGAAACTAAACAAAAAGAGTTCAGCTTTGATTTCCCCTCTCTCTCTCCAAAACCAACAGCACTTTAAATAAGGGGGAATCAAACATTAGACATTTCCAAGTCATATGCATTAAATTCACTTAAGATATTGTTATCCTTGTTTAGATTTGAACATATCGGGGAATCTTTTTGTCTTGCAACTATTCCTAAAAGACTTTAAGCGGTTGGATTGCCTTTTTCTGACAAAAAAAAAAAAAAAAAAAAAAAAAAAAAAAAAAAAAAAAAAAAAAAAAAAAAAAAAAAAAAAAAAAAAAAAAAAAAAAAAAAAAAAAAAAAAAAAAAAAAAAAAAAAAAAAAAATCGTTCCATGAATTATTTACATGAAAGTTCCAATCAACTCTATACCTGTCAGCCTCCCAAGCCAAAATGAAAGTTCACTATGTAAAGGTGCCAAGGGAGAGTGGCAGCCTCCCACTGCGAGTTTATAGACAGAACTAAGTCAGCACGCATTATGTGTCAGAGCCAACATCAGACAGAATCATATCCTTTGATCTCAGACCTCCACAGGAAGCTTAGATCTCAGACAAATTAGATAAAAAATGAATTTACAGCAGATATGTATCCTAAGGCACACAGCTGAATGCTGTGTTTTGGAGGAGTACAGCAAATATCAAAACACATAAACTGCAGAATTTCCTCTCTCCTTCTCTCTCTCTCTCTCCCTCTGCTTTTGTGATAGACGCTAATTAAAAGGAGATAAAAACTCCAGCTCGCCTCTTCCTGCCTCTTATGTAATCCACAGGCTTGGGGAAGAAGGAGGAAAAAGAAATTCCCAAACCAGAGTAAATGGGAGGTTCAGCGGGGTTATCCGAGTGCCCTCAGATCTGCGCTGTTGTCAGGTGAGATAAAAAAAGCCCTGGGCTCCTGTAAGAACATTTCACACTTGCAGAGAGGGAAGCCGGTGCTTTGTGCTGGCAGCCACATGCCCCCGGGGCTGTCTGCTTCCCTGTGACCTCAGAAGGAGTCGTGTTTGATCAGCACATGATGAAAAGATGAGTCTGGAGGAGGTGTGAGGAAAAGAGTTGTTTGTGGCAGGACCCTGAGGAGTAAAGGGGGACACGGAGTGGGGTGGGTGGGGATGGAGCTGCTTTGGGCTGTTGGGTTGGACTCGCAGAGACTGTGCAAATGAGCTCTGGGTGTCTTTTCTACCTCCAGCGTACTTCACTGCCATCCTCCAGAGCCTGCAAACCTGTCCAGAGCTTTTTGATCCCTCTGCAGTTACTGCTGCAGCACTTGGAGATTTGGGCAGGGATCAGCCCTGTTTCTCCAAGCAGAAGAGACCGACCCCTATCTGGGAGTTGGAGAGAGTGAGAAGGTCCCCCCTGAGCCTCCTTTTCTCCAGGCTGAGCCCCCCCAGCTCTCTCAGCTGCTCCTCATCAGACTTGTGCTCCAGCCCCTTTCCCAGCTTATGAATCAAGCATTTATATGCATTTACTCCTCCTCTACAGGTTACCCGTCCATTTGGCCAGGTCCCAAGTTCAGCTGGAATTTCTTGAAGGCCAAGTCATTGGTAACTTCCAACACATCCAGCAGTATGAGCTGGCTGTTTGGCAATTGGACTAGGGGGTGTTGGTCCCTGCCCTAATCCAAATACACAAGGAGAAATCATTAACTCACTGAATTATAGAATATCCTGTTGGAAAAGACACACAAAGATCGTGGAAGTTCAGTTCCTAGCCCTGCACAGGATAACCCCAAGAAATACACCATGAGCACATGAGGGATTATGCTGCTGCCTTCAGTGTAGCTGGAAATTCACTCTATGTGTATAAAAGCAGATGAAATGACAAGTAGAAAAATACCAGTGAGAAGAAGAAGGAGGTAATAAAGAGATAGACCTTCTGAGAACTGTGCCATTGGTCCTGTACAAACCTATAAAATCATAGGATCATTAAGGTTGGAAAAAACCTTTAAGATCATTGAGTTCAAACACTCCAAACAGCACTAAACCATATCCCCAAGCATCCCATCCTACACATTTTTAGAACACTTCCAGTGGTAGTGATCCCATCACTTCCCTGGGCAGCCTGTTCCAACACCTGAATATGTTGGAAGACATAAACCAACTCTTTATGATCTTTAACATCCTTTATGATGTTCAACTGTTTATGAATTTGAATTATTGTCAAACTGCGGTCTCACCTCCTCCTTTTTCATCTTCTCCTTGATTGCAGCAAGGCTTGATGGGAGCTGCAGGAGGCTGTGCTAGTTTATTATGTCTCTTAGTACTGGTCCTTGGTACATCAGCCCGTTCAGCCCTTGTTTCTGTAATGAAACACACAGTCACATCACTCCCAATACGTCCTCAGCTCAGCAGAAACAATTAATTCAAGCCAAAAGGAAATGTATTTTTGAATATATAATTGAATATTTCTTGAGTGTATATATATCCCACCAAATGCCATGTCCACACACCTTTTGAACACTTCCAGGGATGGTGACTGACTCCAACGCTTCCCTGGGCAGCCTGTTCCAGTTCTGGATAACCCTTTCCATGAAGAAACGTTCTGTAATATTCAATCTAAACTTCCCCTGATGCAACATGAGGCCATTTCTTCTTGTTCTGTAACAGCTTTTATAGGCATAAAACTCTATAATCTTGAACTACCATGGAATCATAGAATCACAGAACATCCCAAGTTAGAAGGGATAATCAAGGGGATAATCACATGGATAATCAAATTCCAATTCTTGTCCCTGCACTGAGTATAAAATATATTGCTAATAGTAAATTTCTCAGAGCTTTTTGAACTCAGTCTGAAACCCATTGTGGCCATTCTGTGGATTTGTTAAATAAAATACTCTGTAAGTATAAATTTTAACAGGTATTTTCAACTTACTGTTGCTTTTGCTCTTCTTGAACCAGCAGAATGCCAGAATAATGGTGAATGCAGATGCTGCTGAGCTCAGTAGGACAACAAGGATCATGCTGGCCTTTGCTGCCACAGGGACAGGGAAGATGGAAAATGGCTGAGACAGCACAGTGAACTTCGCCCCTGGAATTTAGAACAGTCAGTTGGTTACAAAAGTAAGAACTCTCGTTTCACAGCTAAAACACCACACTATAAACTTGCAGCAGGGATGCAGGAATGTATGCAGGAACAAACCATAAGTCCATCCATCTCCAGATCCAACATTAGACAACAATATTTATTCAGGACTGAGTACCAAGACAACCCAAATACATAATAATGCTTTTACAAGGCAAGTTTCAAGCTTTGAGTGCTTCCTGAAGCTTAAACAGCTTCTTTGCATTCAATAATCCTTAATATACTGCCATGAATTTGTCTAACTGACTATGAAACACAGAAAATGCATTCAAAAAACATCTATTTCTGAGGTCAAACAGATCAGGCCCAGACAGAAAACATGCACATTCTGCCTCACAAGACAGAGATGCTGGTTGTGGCAAGAAAGTAGTTTAGAAAACACAATTTCTACAGGCTATACCTGAATCATATCAGTATAAGTTATGGGGAACCCAGAAACATTCACCAGCATTAAGCTTGAATCCATGATGCAGAAAGTTACCAGTGAACTTGCTAAAATTTTCCACCACAATAATGAGCATTATAAATAAAAAATGTCAGTGTCCCTGCTGTTAGCACAGTAAATATTTAGCCTCTTGACACACACAGGCTTTGGGTAATGATCTTCACCCAGAGATTCTAAAGTTTCCTGTAAATAAATCAAAATCAAAAAAGCCAAAACTCGTATTTTCTGTGATCAAGAGTTCATTGAATCAAGAGTTCTGTGATCAAGTGTCTCAGCATCTGAGTTTCAAGAACTGGAAGATGCATAACACTATGCCTTTAAAAATCAGAAAAAGAGAGATGTTTTGGTTCCCTAAATTATTTCCAAAACACATTCTGAAAGGAGGTGGGCCTGGCTAGGACAGGAGTTCGGCAAAACTGGCCCCGGTACTCTCTACAGACCAACTTGAAGGATGTGGATTAGCACATCAACTCATTACTTATCTTACTACCTGACTCATTACTGGTTCTAACCCCACAATTCTAATAATTTTGATGGATGGATATTTCTTTTATTTGAGTTCCACTTTTATAAAAATCTAAAAGATTTTATTTTTTTTATCCGTTCATTAAAAAAACAATCAGAACACTGTCAACTGGAGACCAGGGCAAGGAGCTGTATGTACCTTTAACAGAAACTCATTAGATTTGTGTCAATGTTGTCCACCTGAACAAAGCTGAGCTTCACCAGAGCAATGTGGGAAGCATGTTCCAATTGGGAAAAATTTGCCTGCAGGTACAAACACGTATGAACTTCAGCTGAGAGAAGCGATCTCACAGGTATCGAGGACTCTACACAGACAGGTGCTTGAAGGTGCTTTGCACCACTCTGATAGTTTGTGAATAGACTTTTCTTGGTTTAAATGCAAAGTGGATATATCAAACCCACTGGGACCCAGGTCACCGAAGTGAATACGACTGTAAAACAAGCAGCAAGACTATGCAGTGGTGCTATGAATAGTCTACTCTCCCCAGGAACTGCCACTAAAACATTTGGGATTATTGCATTCAGCATCAGCTGCACCTTCTGAGCCGTCTCCAAACAGCAAATTATGCCAGGGTGAGTACCCAGAGCAACTGGATCATGGAGATGTATCCGAAATATCTGCTATTTGATTGTTTGATTTTGGTTTATTTATCTCAAACAGTAAGTAAATCTCTTCAGTGAGAATCTGGCAGTATAAAAGCCTTTTTACTGTCTCCAGCACGGTGTGCTTCCAGCCTAGAGCCAGATCCCGTGAGGTACTGACTTTCCATTCCCTCTCACTGAACCAAAGGCAGTGGGACCCGCAGGTTTTGGCAGTATACACTTCAAAACACACAGAAATCCCTTCTTTAAAGGCTCATCTCCAGGTCCTCCCTGCAACCCAACTCTCCCTTTGCAAAGCCATGGGAACACTCGATGTGGATGAGCCACTTGCGACAGTCTAAACATTTGCAAACTTCTAACTTTTAAGTTCAGATTTTTTTCAACAGCCACTTCCACTTGGCCACTTCACCAGACAGATGTACTTGTCCCCTCTGGTTTTTTTCTGGCTGGGAAACAGAGACTTTACATGTGGTCTTACAACATCTCTATCTTCATATGGTTTTGGACTTTGTGCCAAACTGCATGTTCCTGTTTCTCCATAAACTAGCCTCAGCAGTAATTATGAGACAAGAAAGCAACACTTTGACCCCTGTCTACCTTCAGACACGGGTTTATAGATAAATTCAGGCCCCCAAACTGTTGTACAGGTGCTTTTTTTGTGCAGATGCCTTGAGGATTTTACAAGCCGGAGTTCATGTGGTGCCTTCTCCCCAGTGTTCCCCTCATCTGTATTTCCAAGGAGGCATAAGCACACCTGTCTCTTCACCATTCCTGGGTTGCTCGTGCGAGTTTTGTGATCCTGAAGGTGCTAAAATCATCTCCATAAAGTACCAGGAGACTCCCTCGTAGAGCCCAGCCCTGGAGTCACATTCTGAATGTGAATAACCTGTTGCACCCATAAAGACGACCAGGTGCAGGCAAACAGTCAAGAACAGGCACTGTGAAAATAACTGGGAACACAGATGGAAAACTTCTGAACACAGAAAAAGAATAGGGAATGTGAGGACTCAATTTGTAGGAAAAATTTTGCTTTGCCAGCTTAGCTGACCTTAAGTACCAGATTCCCACAGGGATACATAGTTATGGAATCCAGAGAGAAAGAGGCACCTTCCTCTGACTTCTTTGTACTGATTCATCTGATTTAAGAGATCTTGCATGAACAGCACAGGAATCACCAGCAGCTCTCCTGCTGTCTGGGGAATGCCAACTTGGACATAGAATAGAACTCAGGTTATTTAGAGGTTTGGCATTGCTCCACTCATTTAAGCAAAGTTTAACTCCCTTTTTATAAGTTCAGGCCACCTGCAGGGCTTTGATTTTACCAAACCAAAACATCTACAGAATATGGAGCTTACCTGGAGGTGATGTGACAGTGAACACCAGTCTCCAGTTTGTACCTGTGCTGGAGACAGCCAGACTGGAAAACCTTGCACATCCATCTATGACCTGCACTTGGGTGAGCCCTAGAGAGTCAAAAAAAAAAAAATCACATTGCAATTAGCAGCATCCAGCTAAGGACCACTAAAGGACTGCAGACAATCCTTGTGACTTCAGAAAGGCTAAATTCATTGTCCATCCTAATCATAAATGTTAAATCTAACCTCAGGAATTTCACACGGGGTCAAGTCTGCAGGGGAACTTGCAAAACAAATTCCTGAGGGATCGGAGGACTTTAACTTCTAAATATTAGGTCTTTGAGCTCGTTGTGAAATGGCATTTACTGTACATGGTGAAGGTGTAATATGAAAATAAGTGTTAAGACGATCAAGCAAAGACAATAGGATGTCCTAGAAAGTTCCAGATGCTCATATTTAACTTGTGTGACTAAGTGCATCACCAAGGTTAGGAGAGTGTTAATAAGAGGCTATTATCTGTCCTAAAGGGATGGTCCCAAGGAGTCAGCCACTGTAACTAAGGGAAGAGCTGACTGTTTAACTCTTTTCTGGACGGAGTTCCCCCTCATCATTAGGGCATATTCCCTTCTGTCCTACTGTTAGATATCTTTGAATTTTTCTCCAGCTCTGTCTGATGCTTTGAAAGGTATTTGGCCACAAAAACTGTCTATGGTGACTATCCTGAGATAGCACAGAAACCTGGCAGGGGAAAACTCCATGGGGAGCATTAAAATGAAACCCAGGAGAATGAGTTTCTCCATCACTTTCCCTCTTCTTGAGAGCTATCGGGGAATGCATTCTGACCCAACACTTACATTTGCCATGGTTGTTATTTTTGTAGGTTCTTTCTAAAAGTTATAATTTACTTTGCAACTGGATCCCCATTTTATGGTGTGTGTCTTTGAGCACCAGCCAAGTCCTGGCCTTTGAGTGATGCTGACCAGGTCTGGTCTGCATTCAGGCTCTTGGGGCGAGAGGGGTGAAATCCTAAAGACTGACAAATTTCCAAATGTTGGTTCAGGTGGGGGTGAGATGCCAGAACTTCCTTAGGATGCTGGACTTGCTCCAGTGATCACAAACACAGACTTTCGCCCGCTGAAGGACAACATATCATAACTATTTGCTTTATGAAGCAGGTGGCTTGACATTTTATTGCAGTTAAGCAGCACAGGTGAATGGACATAAAGCTGAACGTGAGGAGGACATTTCTTCTCTGACATTCTCATGTTCAGGATATTGAACAATATGGTGAAATAGCAAGCTCTTAGGCAAAAGCATGCCAATTATTTAGCAACAAAAAAAAAAAAGACAAATTTTCCCCTCTCTATGATTCTGATGCTGTTTAATTGCTAATATCTACTAGTTTTGACCACCTATATGGTTTTATCCTATTTTTGTATAGCATCTAACACACCAGACCTCTAATTTAATTGTATATCTCCAGGATCAGCTGGAGTGAAATAGATAGAAAAATAGATAGATAGATAGATAGATAGATAGATAGATAGATAGATAGATAGATAGATAGATATAGATAGATAGATATCAGTGATTTATAAATAACCAGTAATTTATGCTATAAATAGGCTTGATGGGGATGTGGCAATCTAGATTTCTTTAATTGTTTCAGCCAAAACCTGGCTCATTTATCTACTACACATGTGATCTTCCTTATACAGAATCTGCATGGACTACCAAGATTTTCTTGGCTCTGATACCCACTGTAATATGGATTTTACAGAGGGTCTTGTCAGCTATGTTCAAATACTTTATAATTGCCATTTCTAGTCGGTGATGAAGCCTGGAGTGCTGTACTGTACTTCTCAACAGAGACTGTCTCAGCTTTCAGGCACATATGCTTCAAAGCCCAGAATATTACAGATATATATGGGAGTCTTCACACAGATCTCTCAGGCAAGCTGGTATTTAACGTAGAAGAAGCTAATTTGGAGCTAAACTGCTTTCCACGAGGCAGTTTGGCTGCTGTCAGATGCAGCAGCCTCAGTGTGTGAGACGGGACCCATTTCCATTAAATGCTGCTTTCATGTGCTCGAAAGACGGGAGCAATAAGGACATTTGTCAAAGGAAAAACTGCAGCAAACTATTACATGCAGAACATCTGTACTGTGCAGCTCTTGCCTTGCTGGAGTTTATTGACTATTAATTTGATGCATGTATCTTTTAAAGAATGTGTAGTGCACTTCTCTTCAGTGACTTTCTCTTTTTTCCCACCTTTTTTTCTTTCTTTTCTTTCTTTCTTTCTTTCTTTCTTTCTTTCTTTCTTT